TTACCAGGCTGAGGAGGTCCTGCTAGGAAGTCCTAAAATACGCCCATCCACCTCCAGGTCAGAGTTTGAGGGACCACAGGCTGTGTATGCGCTTAGAGAAGTGCAGGCACTGGTTTCTATTGAGACCCTTCTTGATCTGACAATTTTAAACTCTCCATTTTCTTGATTCTAATCAGCTCTCTTTATATAGGAATCCTATAGCTTTCCAGAGCAGACAGAAGTAGAAGCAAAAGCTATGATTGGATTCAAAGGTAGATGTGGAAGGGTGCTGACATGACAGTGTCGTACACTAGGGCTAATCTTTTGCTGCATATCTACAAGCAGGTTAAACCCAAAAACACACCTGTAGCATAAGTAAATATTAGTATCTCAAAATCAGATATAAGGAAGCTGAGGTGCAGAGAGGTTAATTAGGCTCATTGGAGCAAGCTAGCAGCAACTCCAGATATAGAACCAGCATTGTATTCCACATGGTTTCACCACCAGTTAATTCTTCTTTTTTGTCAGTGCTCTTCTGCTGTTTTTGTGTGACCTCGACAGGAGGTGCATGAGTTACTACAAACAATAGGAGTGAGTGCTGGGCTGAAAGCTCATACTTAGAGGTTTATTATAATCTCTGTCAATGATTTGCTAGCTGACCTTGGAAAATTAACCTCAGTTTCTCCATTCTAGATATGAAGTTGGTGCATGTTGTAGGGCTGATCATAACTGAAATATAAGCTATGTATTAAAAAGGCTTAAGAGGACATTTGTTCAAAGAGGACATTTGTTCAAACAATTCACAGTTTTCTCCTAGTAGCTTCAAAATAGTGTCAGTGATGAAAGCCACTTAAGGAAGCCAGCAACAAGGATGAGTTAGCCCAATCAGTAAACCTGCTGGTGTGCAGACTGCTAGGGATTAAATTACCGTGAACTTCACCTCTGATGCATGATGTCCCCCATCTATTTCTCTTAGATACCACAATTCTCCAGAGATGAGAGCCACTTCACACTGAAAAGAGAGGCATTAAACAGATATCTTTGCCCTCCTCCATTTCCTCCATTTATCAACAAGGTCTTTAAAAGTTAAAGAGAAACGTATAAAAGCAAAATAAAAATAAACAGCACCAAGCCTGAATCTGGCCTATCCCTATGAATAATGCATCAGGAATCCAACCCTGCAGCTCTCTTAGAGCCATTTCCACATTTTCCACAGGCATCACTCATTAGCTCATTAGTCACAGCAGTCTTATTCCTACTAATTGATTTTACTACAATTCCCTGCAATGTATGGCTAAGATCCAACATGTTTTCTGCTTTGCTTTAAAACCATTATATTAGCACAGCTTTGCAAGACGCCTCAGCCCTCTCTCAAGCCTATTGAACATGTAAAGGTCCAGTTGGATGTTGCCCTTAGGGAAAGGGCATGTGTCCCCTCAATCTGACAAGCAGAAGGCTCAAAGCACCCTCCTGAGCAGAGAGGTGTGACTTTCACACCTGGTAGGAGGTCAGTCTGCTATAGACTGGAACTGAAGGTGGGTTCAGAAAGCAATCTCCTCACTGATTTCCACCTGGACTGGACTGGACTAGGAGATAAGGGATACTGGCTAGTGCAGGACCTGGGACAGACGAATCAGACCAGACCACAAGTACAAAGGGCTTCCTTAACTCTGCTGCTCCTCCCATATTCCTCACTATAGCTATCCCCTCTGTCCCAGGCTTGTGTTGTGTGCTGTGCCTGAGAATTAGCGATGCTTTGTATATTCACCAGGACAGGAAGGTAAGGAACAAGAAAAATTTTTTTACAAGGAGTCCTGTTCCCTGTATCTAATGACTCACCTGACTTTTTTTTTTTTTCCCAACCTTTTTTTTTTCCCCCTTTGAATTCAGTGCAGGTACCTCTTATCTCTAGGTTCTTATTTAGACTAACCTCTGTGTAGCACTTAACTCTTTTTGGGTAGGACATTCTGCCACCGTTTAGAGCAGGGCAGCAACAAACTGAGTGGCAGATGCTCTCTATTAACCCCTCATGGGAAGGGAAAAGGAGGAAAAGGGAGAAAGACTTACAATTTGAATATTAAAACAGCTTTACTAATAACACTAATAATACCAATAATATTAACGATAAGAGAAATTAAACAAAATATACAAAATCAATACGGAGTTTCCTGGAGTTGGGTGCCGCAGGAGCTGGCATCCCACCAGCAGCTGCCAGGCTGGCACCAGGAAGTCCTGGACTGACCTCAGCAGTAGATGGGAACTGCACTCAGGAACACACGGATCGTAATCTGGATCAGGATCACAGGCAGAACAAGGAGTAGGGTCCTCTTCAGAAGCCGGCCATGGATGAAGAGAGTGAGACCCTTGTGATCCCCCAGCTTTAAACTGAGTATCAGGTGCATGGCATGGAATACCTCTTTGGTCAATGTTGGCTCACCTGTTCTCTCCACCGTGCCCCGCAAGTGCAACCCTTTACGACTCCTCACTTGCAGGACCTAAGAGGTCTATCAGTGACCTTGGTTGTTAGGTGTTACCAGCTAGCATTAGCTAATGTTAGCATTAACGTTAGCATTAGGAGTTACCAGCTTTGGAGTGGACACTGTCTGTAAAGTATGCAGCCAACTTCAGAAATTGCAGTTACTTAGAGGAACATAGCTCTAAGGAAAAATCACTAGAAGACAATCGCTTCTGTTTTATCCCAAACCAGGACACCTTCATACTTATCACTTGTCTGGCCAGTGGCCAGAATACGGATACAGTTGTCCTCTGGGGGAATCTTACAGGAGTTAATAACTACTAAAGTGTGTTCTCCCTCTCTGTCCATAATATGCAAATAAATGAATGATCATATATTTATAACTAGTGAGAATTTTTCTTCTTTCTCTACCAAATCTTTCTAGTTTCCTTTCTTCTTTTTGCTGCCAAGCTGGTATCTTTTCCCTTCCCATCAACTCTGACTGACTGAGGCAGTAATCACTTGTTTTAAGATTAGTTGCTCCATCCAGCTTTCCAAGCTATTATTAATGATGCAGGAACTTGAATCACTTGCTCATCTTAACTGTTACCTGCTTTAATTATGCCCTATGTTCCGTCAAGACTTAATCCAATGAACAAGAGATACTTTTCTATCTGAGTCACTTCTCATTGACCCAGAAGGGAAGAACAAGGACAACACATGTAAAACAGTACATGACCTAACTGAAAGAAAGGAGCTTTGCCTCCAGGCCCTTTTCATCTCCCTCTAATACTTCAGAGCCTAGCATCAAAGCTGGAATCTCCATACGCCTTTGGCTGGTAGGAGTGTGTTCTCAGGCTCAGTGTGACCAAACCAGCAGAAAACCTAAGTGGCTTGAAGCTATCTCCACTGCACAGGTGATAGGCTCAGCCTGTCCCCCGTCAGCTGCAAGAGACATCGCAGGTTCGGCCTCCAGATACTTTAGGATTTCAGGAAGATCTTTCTGACCCAAAAGCTTCTTGCTTTCAGAGCATTTCTCCCAGGTAAAGGTGAGGGAAGCAGCCCTGCAGTGATGTTTCCCCACTGGATGAGCAGTTCAGCCTGTCTGATGGTCCTAGCAAACAGACAAACAAAGGTCCATGGGAGACAAGACTGGTTCTTGGTCACTTGTCACAATGCAGAGGAGTGCAAACACCCCCAGCCACAACAGCAGCAGAATTCACACAAACCCTGCTTTGAGACAAATGGTTGAGCCTGGCAGGGATCTCTGGAGATGATCTAGTCCAACTATTCTGCTAAAAGTAGAGTCACTAGAGCAGGTTGCCCAGGGCTGTGTCCAGCTGGGTTTGAATATTGTCAAAGATGGAAACTCCACAACCTCTCTGGGTAGACTTTTCCAGCATTCAACCATACTTCAGGATTTTTCTCAGACCTATAGTTCCCCAGGTCTTCCTTTTTACTCTTTTTAAAAACAGGGGGTTATGTTTCCCCTTTTCCAATCAGTGGGAACTTCATCAGACTGCCACGACTTCTCAAATATGATGGATAGTGGCTCAACAACTTCATCCACCAGTTCCCTCAGGACCCACGAGTGCACCTCATCAGCTCCCATGGACTTGTGCACCTTCAGGTTCCTTAGATGGATAGAAGGATGACCTGGAACCTGATCTTCTCCTACAGAAGGTGGTTCTTCATTTTCCTGGTCCCTTGCTTTGCCGTCTGCAACTTGGCCAGTGTGGGTGGAGCACTTGCCAGTAAAGACTGAGGCAAAAAAGTCATTGAGTACCTCAGCCTTCTCCATATCCCGGGTATCCAGGACTCCCATTTCCTTCCAGAGAGGGCCCACATTTTCTCAAGCCTTCCTTCTATCACTGACATATCTATAGAAGCCTGGGAAGAAGGGAAGGATCACATCCCTTGACATGCTGACAATGCTCTGCCTAATGGAGCCTGGGAGGTTGGTGGCCTTCTTTGCTGCCAAGGAACATTGTTGATTTAGGTACAACTTGGTGTCCACTATGACTCTCAGCTCCTTTTCTGCAAAGCTGCTTTCTATACTAATCAGCTCACAACCTGTCCTCGTGCCTGGGGTTATTCCTCCCCATATGCAAGACTTTTCATTTCCATTTGCTGAATTTCCTGAGGTTTCCCTCTGTTAGTTTTTCCAACCTGTTGAAGTTCCTCTGAAAGGCAGCACACCCGTCTGGTGTATCAGCCACTCCTCCTAGTCTTGTATCTTCTACAAACTTGCTGAGGATGAGCTCTGCCACATCATCAAGGTCGTTAATGAAGATGACGAACAGTATTGACCCCAGCATTGAGTCCTGAGGTACCCCACTAGCAACTTGCCTCCAACTGGACTTTGTGCCACTGATCACAAGTCTCTGGGCCCAGTTGCTCCACTGGTTTTCAGTCCACCACACTGTCCACTCATTAACCCATACTTTGTCAGCTTGTATATGAGGATGTTGTAGGAAACACTGTTGAAAGCCTTAATAAGGCAGAGATGAACAACATCCACTTCTCTCACACCATCCACCAAAACAGTCACCTCGTTGTTACTCACTATCAGGTGAGTAATTAGTTTCCCCTTTGTGAATCCATGCTGACTCCGGGGTTGCAATGCTGATTTTTGTCTTGTTCCTCATGCTCAAGATCTTGAAATCCACCATCTTTTCATCACTGCGGCCAAGGCTGCCCCCTACCTTAACTTCCCCAACAAGTTCTTCCTTCTTTGCAAATATGAGGTCCAGCAGAGCACGTCTTCTTGTTGATTCCTCAGTCACCTGTGTCAGGAAGTTGTCATCAGTGCACTCCAGAAACCTCCTACATTGCTAGTGCCCTGCTGTGTTGTTCCTCCAGCAGATCTTGGGGTGGTGAAAGCCCACCATGAGGATGAGCGCTTGCGAATGGGAGGCTTGTTCCAGTTGTCTGAAGAAGGCCTCATCTACTTCCTCCTGATCAGATGGTCTGTATCAGACACCCACTACAACATCACCTGTGCTGATCTGCCCTCTTATCCCGACCTCTCAGGTGACTCAGCACCCATCCCTACGCAGAGCTCCATGCACTTCAGCTGCTCTTTGACATAAAAAGCAACTCCCATTCCTCATCTTCCCAGCCTGCCCATCCTAATCACCTTGTATCCAGACATGGTGACGTGTGGAAACAAACTCCACAACTCACGGAGAGTTATGAAGCAGCTATGTTTATTGCAGCGCCGGGTGCAAGGGGGATCGCTCCCCCTAACTTGCACACTGACTCACAAAGCATGCACCTATTTATTACAAAGTTTATCTAAGTAGGCTGGATTATTACAGTTAGTTCTGGGAATAGGCATGATTACTATAAATATTTCTAGGAATTCATTGTCATACTCTGCCCCTCTTTAGCACTTGCACAGTATCATCTGGTTGTCATCTGTGGAGGTCTGCTGGATGAAGGCTCATAGTCCTCCTCACTGTGTACTTTTACCTTTGGCTCAAAAATTCCTGAGTTGTCTGTGTTGGCTGAGTCCCAAACCATAAAACTATTTTCAGCTAGAGGGTTGCATCTTACAGACAATAAAGTTCTGGTTATCAGTCCTTCTCAGTCCCTGCGTCTTTTTATTTGTCTTGCAAGCAGTCTTTGTTAGCTACATTTGAGCTCACAGAAGTCCTTGTTAGCAAGGTTACAAAGAACAGAACTAAACTCCATGTCAGTGGTTACCTCAACATAGATGCAAAGCTATATAACAAAATTGAACTAAAGCTATAACAAAATTGAACTAAAGCTATAACAAAATCGAACTAAAGGTCAATTACCCACATTAATGGTAGCACTGAAATATGTGAGCCATCCCACCACATCTCTGCGACCCCGAGCTTTCATGTGGTTTGGCCAGCAGCTTGACCACAGGCAATATGAGGAGTTATGAGAGAGCTGGGTTTGTTCAGCTTGGAAAACAGGCTGAGAAAAGAGGGCTTGGGGGTCTAACAGCACCTGACATAAAAGACGGCGAAAGAGAAGGCTGAGCTAGACTGTCCTTGAGGACACCCATTGACCACAAGTTGCAGGAAGTGAAATTCTATCAGATATAAGGAAAACTATTTCTCTGTGCGAGTGTTAAAAAACTGCAACAGGAGACCAGAAAAGCTGTGGTGTCTCCATGCTCGGGATGTGATGAAGAACATACTGCGATAACCCACTTCTTCCTCATCTCCAGGGTCCAGATGAACTTCTTTCTTCATCATGTCATTTAGCAGAAGGGGTTTGTGGTGGTGATGATACATCAACACACCCGTCCCAGGATAGCCATACTGAGCCTGCGCTGGCAGATAGAGGGCCTGCCACTGCCACCTTCCGACAGGAGAAGAAAATGCAAACGCCTTGTCTCAGCCCATTTCCTGAGGAAAGAAGTGAGGTATTTTTAGGACTGTTTTAAAAAAACTCTTTCCAAAATTTGGGTTTCATAATCATTTGGTTCCAACCAGCTTTAGGATGAGATACATCCATGTGAGAATAAAAAAGGGAGAAAAAATCAGTCTATGTTGCCCTGAACAAAACAAGAGCTGAATTCCAACATGAGTAGCTACACCTTGCCCTTATAAAGAACCTAAGCACTGCAAAGTAGCCACATACAAGGTGCCACTTTCCCACATCTATTGAGCACTGGTATTTGGTTTATGTCATCTTTCCTCTAATAGTTTGCATCATGATACTCAATGTGTGCCGCTCCTGGAACCAGCAGGTTTAACTGGTCTGAGCTCAGGAAGGGGTCCTCGGGCGAAACTCAGCCTCTCACGCGAGAATGGGTGATTGCATTGCCATAATTTTAGCAATGAGAAGACAGAATCGGAGCCAGGAGCACGTGGTGCTCAGGGACAACAACGTGACATTGCTCTCAGTAACGTGGGCATGACAAGAACCTGTGTGAAATACAATACACCGAGTCATTGTTTGTATTAATTGGCACGGAGAATGAGACCAAGGCATGCTACTCACACCTATTTCCCCATGGGCTTGATGCTGTATGCGTTACATTTTAGTTGTGCTAGCTTAACTCTTTCTGCACAAAGGACAAGATTTATTTACTTCATGGCAGCTCGGATGGCCAAGTGTCCCTGTGTCAGGAAGGGCCAGGCCACCACGCCCAAGGGGACCAAGGTACATTGTGCATCGCTTTAAATCTCTTTTTCCTGAGAGATAATAAGCAGTAAAATTGGAACATGTTCCCGGTCATGCAAAGCACCTCCCGTCTTTCCAGCCTCCTCCCAGCTCGGCTGCTGCTCAGGTCAGCATTGCAGCCTGGAGGTGCTATCTTGCACCAGTACAGGCTTGGGGCGGACCTGCTGGAGAGCAGCTCTGTGGAGAGGGATCTGGGTGTCCTGGTGGACAACAAGTTGATCATGAGCCAGCAGTGTGCCCTGGCTGCCAAGAAGGCCAATGGGATCCTGGGGTGCATCAAGAGGAGTGTGGCCACCAGGTCGAGGGAGGTTCTCCTTCCCCTCTGCTCTGCCCTAGGGAGGCCTCATCTGGAGTACTGTGTCCAGTTCTGGGCTCCCCACTTCAAGAAAGATGAGGAGCTACTGGAGAGAGTCCAGC